ACACATCATTGCAAACGAACGAACGAACGAACACGTTAACTCGGAGTATTTTCTTAAAGCAAATTTTCAAAAATCAATAATTTTAATTAATCAATAATTATAATTGAACCAGTTTCCGTAGGACTTTTATGATTTACTATGTTCAAGACCAAGTACACTACCATTATACCAAATAAATCATCTAATTTTATTTTTAACAAACGTCAAAAAACTACTCATTTTCTCAAACTTTGATGAATTTTTAAAATTAAACTACTTGTCGCGAGGTCGTAATAATTCAGTAAGTTCTATTAGACCATGATATATACCGCGAAAAAAAGTTCCATGAAAATCAGCCTAAATTTTTTTTTCAACAGTTAATTACAAGAAAACGGCTCGGTAGATTTTCACCTAAAACTAATCAGTACCGTTCGCAACTAATATCTTTCGAACAGTTTTTGATTTTTTAAAATCGGTTCGGTAGTATGAGCTTAAATGTGGACGAAAGGTTTAACACTTTTTTCCAAATACAAAGAAACGGCTCGGCCGATCGTCGCACAAATTGAGAAACGATAATCCTCATGGAGATACATCAAATGATTTTTAAATATCTGAAATCGGTTCAGGCGTTTTTGAGCAAACGTCGATGAAAGTTCTAATTTTCACAAATGCCAAAAAGATCATACTAATTTTTGCAAACTTTGACGAATTTTTAAAGCTAAACCAGTTGTCATAGGGCCGTAATATTTTAGTATAATCTAGAAGACTATGGTATCTACCGTCAAAAAAATAATTATAAAAATCGTTGAATTTTGTTTTTTTTAACTATAAAATTAACTTCAGTATTAATATTACTGGTTCAACAGTTTCTGCATATCTGCAGAGTAGTCCAGCAAATCTTAATATTTACATGTGCATATGAATATTATATACATACATATGCATGTGTATTAGTACTAGTGTTATTTTCGAGGTGTGAGGTGCAACAATTTTCATCTTTGATTATACAGCGCGGTTTTAAGAATTCGAAACTTTTTTTTAGTGTCGGCCCTTCGACTTGACACTTGCACGACACCTTCATTAGTATTGGCTCCGATATGCAGGTATACCTGTATCGGTTCTCTCTATTGTCTTTTATTTGTTCAAACACTAAAACCAAATGGAAGATGTTTACTAACCCTTCAGCAGATAGATAGATACTCAGTGCTAATTTATTTACGACTTGTGTGGCGCCTGGAGCCAAAAATATTTAGATATACACAGGTAATATGGATTTAAATGAATATACTTATATATATATATATATATATATATATATATATGATGACATAAAATACTATGTCGAAACGTTTGGAAAAATTAAAGATTAACTTCTAAATCTTTGCCTTTTATTTGATGTATGCCCTTGAAGAACTTACTCATATTTCTCAACATCAAAACTAACTTCTTTAACATATATATATATATATATATATATATATATATATATATATATATAAAAATTTCTAGCAAAGTTTAATTTTGAGCAATTGGTACATAGGGTAGAGCAGAGACTTGAAGAAACGCGGGTAAAATCAACCGCGCATTTCAAAAACAAGTAAAGTTAGAAATTTTTTAACAACAATATTTGAAATTAGAGGACAGAAGATGTATAACCAGCCATCACCGCAAGATTAAAATGGCAGCGATTAAAAATCCATAACAAAAGTATTTTGTTTCGTTGATATTTTTGGTCGTGCGCACTGTTGTTTAGTTTACGAGACCTTAATATAATTTTCAAGTATACGTTATTCAATTGTTTTATAGAATGTATTGTAAATTTTAATTCAGACTCAACACGTGGTTTTACGTAACCTCTATAAAAGCTTACATATGGTT